TATACAGTTTTACATTTCATTTTACCAAATTTCTCAGCCATTTCCTGAACAAATTAATGCTAAACAGAAAGTATTTTTTAATTCTAAGTCTGGTAAAAAAGTCATTCCATCATTGTGTTTATATTCTAAGCAGAAATCGAGAAAAATAACTTTGTAATAAAGTAATAAAGTCGCACAGGAAGCCATTTTGAAAGCGTGCGTGTACAAGAAACACTGCAACACTATTACCTGTAAAACCGTAAACCGATCGAAAACAGTTTTATTTCTGAATTTTAATTAAACTTATAGTTGGATAACTTGGATATTTTGTTTTATTCATTAAAAATTTATACTAAAACAATTATTATCAACGTACAGGATTTGTTATGTTCACTTGTGCAAAAACACTAAAATATAATATGTTTAACAAATAGATTACATTTAACCGTTGTCTGTTCAGTTATAGATACACATATGACGTCATCACATCGTACTGTGTATCTATAACTGAACAGACAACGCGAAAATGTAATCTACTTGTTTTATATCATAAAATTGAAAAAATTCCCGAATTAAACAGGTAAACAGTTTATTTTTATTCCCCCAAACATTTGGAAGACGAAATTTTGCAAACTTTACGCGTTCATGATCTTTACAAATAACGAAATGCTATTGGCTCGCTTAAGTTACGTGCTGAATTCTGATTGGATAAGCTTAGAATGCGCTAGACGGTAATAAATAAGGAAAAACTAAAAATTTATCAAACAGTACGTGAAAAAACATTGTTTTAAAGAAATAAAACGGTGTGATAAAAAAGCAATTATTTAGATCTGAGCGACTATCGTGATTGAAAAGCACTTAAACATTGCCTATGTTACACGAAGTGAGCAAACAAGCTGGAAAACGTGACATCGACAAGGTGAAATGACTCAAATAGTATTTGTTTTCGAAGACCGGATTGAATTTGAAGTCGCAGCTGAATGACTGAATTGAGATTTGCCGAGTTGCTAGCTTTTGTGAGTGATTTTTGCACATTTATCGAAGGTATTTATTGATGTTTATGGATTTAATTAATTACATGAATTCATTCAATTTGTATAAATTCAGTGGAATTTTCAAATATTTTCGACATTTTAAATACTAATGAGTAATGACGTGATTCCGTGCGTCTGTCCTCTAATAGATCAATGAAATCGCATGAATTCTTGAGGTTATTATATAAATATACATAGTACACACCTTTTATCGTGTTTTCTGCTCAGTCTGCTGTGATGATTTATATCCAGTGGTGCTTTGAGATGGATACCTCTTCCTGATTTCATTATACACGCATGCTGGAAGCGGTCTAGAGTTCTCCCATCCAAGCATACTGAATATCCATCTCACTATTCACCGATACGCCACTGCACGAAGATATCTAAAGATTAATGCACCTATCAATGTTAAGCCCCATGGAGAGGTTGGGCATATGTGGGGCATTTGATAGATTTTTGTTAACCCACCCGCAGGAATTTGATCGACACCATCTCCCGAGGGTGGGGAAATTTAAATTGAGCACCATCTTGCATCCTGAGGAAGAGCATGTGTTCAGGACTCGGACAAATCACTTTCAGGTCTTTAACCACAAATAAAATGTGTGCCCAACAGTGAGGCATTTGATCACACTTGACTGATATTTACTTCCCCATAGTAGAGAATTTGACCAAAAAATTGCATAAAAAGTCAAATGCCCCACGTATATGCCCGACCCTCCCAGTACTGAGTTATTAGCTTCATGAATACACTATTAAAAGATGGTACTGTTACACACTTTGTTTATATATTTCAAAATATTCAAAGGCATAGATTAAAATACATCTATTAAAATCTTACAAAATTCAACCATTTGCGATTATTGCGAATATATAGAAAATACTGATGGAAACTGACAAAAATTAAGTGAAATTAGTTTGACTTACTCATTTTGCCCGTCTTGAGTTCTGCTTGTTGGTTTGCGATATATTTTTCCCTGTCTTATCAGACAGAAAAGCCCCTGCAGTCTCTAGTACTGTTCGATGCGTAATAATAGGATAGTCCCAGTGCTGTGTTATACATCCAGCGTCTTTTCCATCGTGCGTGAATTTGCCCATACATTCCAGTATCTCTTTACAACACCGGTACTCCCTCGCGTCGTCTAACAAAGTTTTCGTAAATCTCGCCTCAAGGGTTTCTCGCAGAATACCGTCTTCGTCTGTTTCGTCTTGCTCGTAGTCACTATCAGCAACAGGCTCGAACTGATAGGGCTGAACAACAGAGGATTGCTCAACAACGTCTTCGTTATCTGTTGACTGTCCTGTATCTGTCTGTGATTGAAAGCTTTCGGTATCGGACATTTTTCGTGTTTTTTTAGAAGAAATATACAAGCTACTTTTTTGCGATTTGTGATATTTTGTTGTTTTCATTCAGGTAAACACTTCGATGTGATTTCACACTGCATACGTCACAAGGCTGTAATTTTCGGTACCAGTCTTTCATCAGGTTACGATTCAAAATAGCTGTATTTATCGTATATTTTAGGTCATTTTCAATTCTTTTAGAGCGCTTTTACTAACAAAAAATATTTTACCTAATCAAGGGAGACCATTTGTTTCTAAATTTCGAAATTTTAATTTTTTCATTTTTCCTCGCATACACACTTTAACAGTTTCTTAAAACTTCCAATGGAATCAGCTTGCTGAGTGCGTGAAGGTAAATCATTCCACAATTTAGGCGCTGCACATCCAAACGAACGGTCACCAAGAATCGGTAATGTTTTGAGGGTAGTCTTCTGGAGCAAGAGATTTGAATTCAATCTCATGCTATAAGACGCTGGAGGTTTGATTGTTATAAGCTCAGAGATATAGTCAGGTGCCAATCCATGAAGTGCTTTAAAAAGAATTAGTAGAATTTTGAAATCTATTCTAAACTTAACCAGAAGTCAATGTAAATACTTCAAAGTTGGAGTTATATGATCAAACCGTGGGACGTTACATATTAATCTCGCTGCTGCATTCTGCACACGTTGAAGTTTGTTAAGCTGAGTTGCAGGCAAACCATAGTACAAACTGTTACAATAGTCTAAACGACTTGTAACAAATCAATTAATTAGTATTTGAGCGGTTTCACGTGTCAGGAACTTCTTTATCCGCCTGATGTTGTATAGGTGGGAAAATGCGGCCTTACAGGATCTGTTCACATTGGTATCATATTTTATTTGGGAGCCAAGCCAAAATCGTAGATCTTTAGCTTCACTAGACGATGTAACATAAGAATCACCAATACGCAAAGTATCAAAATTGACTTTTTTCAGCTGTTGTCGGGTACCAATAATCAAAATATCAGTCTTACCGTCGTTAAGTTTGAGTTTATCATGTAGCATCTATGTTTTAATACCATCAATACAATTTCCCATGACTGTAACCGCAGACAGTTGTTCAAACATTGAATCTGGTTGTCATGAAACGTACAGTTGATTGTCATCGGCGAAAGCATGGGCATTAGGTAAGTGACTTTCCATAATCTCGAATAATTTGGACACGCATAAAACAAACAGAAGTGGGCCAAGACAAGATCCTTGAGGTACGCCATTTTTTAGTTCAAAACCGCTTAGATGCACTACCATTTACAGAGATGAATTGCGAACGGTTAGAGAGATAGGAGGTAAACCATTTTAGTACTTGGTCTTGGATGCCAAAACTGGATTTCAGTAGTTCGAGCATTATATGATGGTTGACAGTGTCAAATGCAGCGCTCGGATCCAAAATTACGAATAAGGTAACATGCTAACGGTTCATGTTCATTAAAATATCATGCTTAACACGTATGTAGTAAGGCCGTCTCCGTACCATGATACTTGCGATAGGCCGATTGTGCTTTTGGTATAAATTCAAGTAGTCATTTGCCTGATTAACGACAGCACGTTCTGTTAATTGAGATGTAAATGTGAGATTACTGATAGGGCGAAGATTCTCAAATACCGCTTCTGTTTTTGATTTTTTAAGCTGTGACTGGACTAATGCTTGCTTCCATTCATCACGAAACACACCAGATTGTAATGATAAATTGATCATCCTGGTAATGACAGAAAGGAGAATATCTTGACATTTTAAAACCAATGAAGTGCGCATTGGGTCCAGAGAGCACGATTTAGATATCAAATCTTCGACATTTTCTTCATTTGAGATGTCAAAGGAATCAAATCGGGACATCAGCTCAGTAAATTCTGGGACAGACGAATGGTTTGTTTCAAGGGCAGAAGAATCAAACCCAGCATGGATGCGCTCAATCTTCTGGACAAAAAATTCCCCAATATCATTAGCCAGCACATTAGAGTCCCCATATTCAGGAAACAGAAGATCAGATCTTTGTGTAAAGAGAATTTTAGCGGCTTGAAACAGTTTCATTTGATTAGTACTGTTTTGAGAAATAAAATCAGTATTAGAACGCTTTCCGAGCACAATTCATGACAAATGTTGTCTGTTTTTTCTGCACTTTATAATCAGCTAAGTCACTATTCAAATTTGTCCATTTCCATTTCTTTTCTGCTTTCCTCCGTTGCCGCTCAGCAGCCTTCACTTGTTCACTGAACCAAGGGACAATAGGTCTTTTTGTAACAGTTTTTGTTTTCCACGGTGCATACTGATCTAAGATTGAGTTCAATGTTTTATTGTAACAGTTTACAAGCTCATTTAGATCAAATGATCCTGTTTTCGCAGAGCATAGAGTTAGATAAATCCTTCCTCAAGGCATCCAAATTTATGGCCGCGACATTGCGATACGAAACTTTTGAGTTAATTCGTGGAACTCTGTCCAGTTGTAATTGACAGAATACTGGCATGTAATCAGAAAACAAACAGTAAGCTCTAGGAGATGAAGCGATGATCTGATCAGTTTGTCGGGTGACATAAGATTAAGGATATGACCACTACAATGAGTAGGAATGTGTACATGTTGATCAGGTCCGACACTTTCAAATAGCTCAAGTAATTTAATAGCATCATTGTCATCATCACATTGGACATGAATGTTGAAGTCGCCACCAATTAAGACGAGGTCAGTGTTTAAAACAACTGACTCCAAGTACTCAGAAGTGATAACAGGATGGATTTCAGAGTAAGGTGGTCTATAGATGATAATTAACAATGATTAGACTGATGTAAATAATTGTTTTAGTATAATTTCCTTCACAAAATTAATCAAACAATTAATATGCGCTTCCGTTATGAATATAATTTTCGCCTCGTTTTGCCAAAATACAAGGAAATTTAGAACCAAACTGTTTGCATTAAACAGCGAGGATCACGGGTTTCAGCGCGAGCAAGTTCGCCTTTCACGAAAAGGAGTTGTACCGCTTCAGGTGTCAAGGGATTTTTGTGGACAGTTCCAGCAATTTTTCCAGTGCCCATGAGGTATTTCAGGTAGGAATTCTATGTTTTATTTGCTTCTTGAAAGGCATCCGGGTCACAAATTAAGAATTTTTTGTTATATGGTGGTGAGCGAAGATGGCGATCCAACGCAGCTCGTAATGACATTAGGGTTGCCTTTTTGTAGTAAGAACCTTTTTTTTCTAGCCGGCATGTAAAATTTTGATAGACATTGATTCAGGCCATCAATTTCCATGTTCTCGAACTCGGTTTTAAACTCGTTTTGGTGTGAGAACCATTCTGTGTAGAAAAAAGTTTTTAAAAAGTAATTTTGCCGGTCGCTCTTTTTTGACTGTCAGTTATAAATTGTCAAACAAATTGTTAATAAATTAATTACAGATAAATTAATTAAAGAGTCCTTACCTTTGAAAAGCTTAATCCCATATTTTGTTCCTAGTTTCGTGTTTTGTGGAATTGCACTGTCCTTTATTTGTTCAATTTCCTCAACAGAAATTTCTACAAAACGACTGTGGAAAGCCATGTTGAAAGCATTATTTGCTACTCAGGTAGTAAATAATGCCTCAGATGTACTACCTGTTAACCAATCAAATTGCTCGAAAGCCATTTTTGCTACTGAAATTATACTAATGACTGATATTCTCTGAGAGGCGAATTTAACTTTCCATTCAGAATACTCAAAGAATTAACGTTTGACACCAGCAATTTTAGTAACCAAAATATTTTCTTTAAATAATCCAGTACCACCTCCTCGGCGATTGAGGCGAGGTTCGTCAAAAAACTTATAGCTTGATGGAGTAGATACATGGTCTTAACAGCAGTTTCTTTATCCATAATAAGCAGGGGTCTTCACCCCTTTTTTTCGGCGACCCAAACCCAAGCTTCATAGGTGTCCCGCGACCCTGAACACTGCCAATAAGACTTTCGATAATTAAAAACATGGCTTTTCACCGAAAGCTTCCGAGTGTATGCCGACGACTCTACTTAGGAAGACGACGTGCGCCGAAGGCGCGCCGAGTGGTGCTAAGCCATAATGTTTGAGTTACATGAAGTAAAAAGGTATTATATCTAAAGCTTTACCTGTTTACCATATTATTCTAGCAATCTGGCGCTTGAGTGCTTCATAATAATCGTGAAAAAACATTATAATCGCAAATTTCGCAAGGAAATATTCATATGTAAATATGTGCATCTTATCACTTGATCTCTCGTCTTGTAAAGTTTACTAGTGTAAGTTCGCGACCCTAG